AGGTCTAGCTTTGTGCAGTCTCTTTTTAGACCCACTGTGGGGAATCTATGCATTTTGTATTCCCCATCCACTGAAGGAGCCATCATAGCAGAAAGCTAGAATCACTTGCATTTGAAAAAAACCCAGGCTTTATGCTTGTTTATCTCTCCGGTTTCCAGTTTTCAGTTTATGTCTGGCCTCTGTGGATTCATTATCTTTGTACCAGTTCAGTATTGTATTTAAAATTATTTTTAGTTGTAGTTTTAGTTGTTCTCTTTCTTTTTTTTTTTAAACCAGCACTTTGTATTTACGTTTTTGTTTTTGCTTAGTTTTATTTTTGTTTTCAGTTGAGGAGTCAACTGGATTATCAGTTTCGTGAACTGCTAGGCATGGAATTGCCACACCTGTTTTCACAATCAGTGAGGCTAAAGCAGGGCTACCTTGTAAGACTCCAGGCTGAGTTAGAATTCAAAGTGAAAAGTGTTATGATTCATTTGAGATATTCCCTCTGGGAAAAGAAGGATGAATGGCAGCACTATAGCCGGGAATTGACCATCTCTGATCAACTTCTTTTCTTTACATTCATCAATATTTGATTGAATTTCCAGTTCCTGCTTTTTCTCCTTTTGGTCTCAAATTCATCCTGTTTTTTATGGTCTACATATCTATATCCACAGGTACATCTACATCTACATCTTTCTAGCTAACTAACTTGTTTCATCCATTATAATTGACTTTGCCAGGAGAAACTAAATTTGCTTAGAAGTGCTGAGGTACATTGCACTGTTGGTCTCCATGAAGCTGAAAGAGTGAACTCCAAGAAACTGGCCAATACTTTTTGTGTTGTCCATTATTTATTCTAGCTTAATCTTTCAGAACTTAGAAAGCAATTCTAATCTATGCTCTCTGACCCTGGAAGCTGATTAAGGAAGAGAATGATAGTATTTCTAAGAATGCTTTTTGTGTCAAATAATACAAATTTGTAGACAATACTACCTGTTTTCCACTTATTGAAATGATAGGCCTATGAACACCAGGAAAGCACTGATTAAATGAATGTATGACCTTTTTAAATTATCACATGGATACTAGAGGAAAATAGAAGAGAGGAACTACAGTTAGCATAGAAGACAACTTTTGACTTTTTATATCCAATTTCCTTCCAATATTTCACAAGTATTCTACAAGTAAACAAGATTTTTTAAAAAAATAAGATAAATTCATTAAAAGTTTATAAGTAATGCTAAAATTCTTTGCAAATGGAAATGACATAACAATTGTAATGAATGAAAAAGTCTGATCACTGAGAAACCAGTGAAATCACGGCACAATTGAAACAGAGTAGCCTATGCTAACTATTGACTCTTTTTTATCTAAATCAAATAAAAAATATCCTGTAATTGAATACAGAGTTAACATGATGACCCCCAGTTTTTGGCATCTTCCTCATAGTTATGAGTTGTTTTGAAAATTAAAATCCCCATCTTTATATCTAGCTAGAACTTATATCTGATTTCTACCCTCTTCTGGAATAATTTTCCAAGAACTTTTTCATGATCTACTCTTACATTCAGTGAATAATTATGAAATAATAGAGAGGAAGGTGAGCAATTAAAATTTAATTTATTCTAATTCCTGCCAGTGTTGATTTTCTTTTAAAAATAGAAGTTATTTCTCTGAAATAAATCAAATTAAAGCAGCATTTTGGATTAGGTTTTTAAATGCTGTAGAGAATTTTATTCAACAGCTTTCACTATCATTAAGTCTTAAAGAGTATTTAGCTTCATTAATCCTAAATTTTCACATTAAAAAAAATGGTAAAATACAACTCCTGCGCAGCAGCAATGATTTATAACCCTAGCTTCACTTTAGAATCATATGGAGAGCTCCACAGCCCATTCTCCACAGATTGACTGAATTGTTTTTGTGGGCACTGATGTATGTTTTTAAAGCTCCACTGGTCTAGGGAATGCTGGCCGAAGCTAGGAAGATGTTCTGGTAGGTATCTTTATTATAGTATTATGCTATAAAAGCTTGCTATTTAAAATGTAGACCAGCATCATAGGCCTTCTCTGGGAGTTTGTTAAAAGTACAAAATCTTGGGGCCCACCCCAGATCTACTGAATTAGAATATGCATTTTAACAACATTCCCAAGTGGTTTGAATGAACGTTCAACTTGAGAAGCACTGTTTTAGGATCTGCCTCTCCTTTGGAAGGCACCATTCTTCTTGGTTCCTGGAGATAATCAGACTGAGAATCATGTGAAACTGAGGTAAAAAACATTTTACCAATAATACCAATTTATTAATTTATATTATTTAAGTGTGACATACGGTTTTTCCGTGGATTGGAATATTCAACTATTCTCTCAAAGCAGTCAGGTTATATAAACAAACAAATCATAATCAGTTGAAAGTTTGCTTGGTCATGGTGGAATTAGAACTGGAAAAGTTATCAACCAAGATGTACATCAACTAAAATGCATTTCTCACCATGGGAATAGTAGTGCCCAATGGGAACTATTTGAAACCTCTTGGCTGGAACACCTTGATCTCATCTCCCCAACAGAGAACTAGAAATAATACACTAGAAAAGCTCCCTCTAGGGACAGAACTTTCAAGGGCATTCTCCACTTTTGCTTTATAACAGTTATTTATTTGCTTGCTTTGCATGACTCACCCCACCACTTCATACTTCTGAAGGGAAGCACAATATGCCAGCCCAGAATATGCCACTTTGGTATAAGGATTATTTTGAACTGATTATTTTAAGAAAGAGCAGACACAGGGGAAGCTTTGAAAACATAGATGCTACTCTTTTGTAAGGGACATTTACATTTATAAAAGAAATCTCCATTTGTTTCTCTCTCTGTACCTCTGTACCAAGAAGAGAAGGATGACTCTAAATCATAAGAAACTCATCAGTGGAGAGGGCACTGACTTAAATTTGTATAACAAGCCCCCTTGTTTATGATTCTTTTTCTGGTAACCTCTCATAACTGTCCTCCCTCTAACATCTTTCTTTGTCTTTAACTGAACATGGTATTTAATGTGGTGGCTTGGGTCATTTCAGGGAATTACTCAGTTTACCAGGGTATCTTCCGTGTGTGTGAGGTATACATGTTAATAAACTTCTGTTTATTTTTCTCTTGTTAATCTGTCTTTTACTACAAGGCATCTCAGCCAAGAACCCAGAAGGGTAGAAGGAAATTATTTTTCCTCCCCTCCACTTCTTTCTTTAGAAGTGTTAACAAATTTAAGCCTGTTCCTTTCAAATTTTGCTGACCTAGGGCTATTTTTGTCTCTCCCGAAGAGACAGAGCAAAGGCACTCTGTGGTGGCTTAACTCTATAAAGGGTAATTTTCTTTCCATCAGTTCCTAATTGTTGGAGAAGCTTTGTTCAAGCTTCTGGGTACTAGCTAAATATACCAGTACAAAATTGGCATATGTAGGAGAGGAAAAATAATTTTCCCTTCACCCTTCTGAGTTCTTGGCTGAGACTCCCTATAGTAGACAGATTAACAAGAAAAACCAACAGAAGTTTATTGACGTGTATACCTCATGTATAAGCGAGAGATACTCAGGGAAACTGAGTAACTCTCTGAAGTGGCTTAGAATTCAAGATTAAATTCCATTTTAATAGGGAAAACAAAGAGGAATGTAGGCCTTTTAGGAGAGAGTAAATGGTTGTTGGGAAAGATGAATGGGACCTTTGAAGAATAGATGGGAGATACAATTCGTGACAAAGTTTGTCTGCATGTGGTGTTGACTTCTAGTCTCCTCTCCTGTGACAAGAGTCAATCTTTCCTGGTTGACGCAATTCCTGGGGAGGGGATCTATGGCAACTGAGTTCCTTTTGGAAGATTTGTCTTTAGACAAATAAGGGGAATTCAGAAAAAGCGTCTCCCTGCATTTGCTGTATTTCAAGTGCCTGCAGCTCAAAATAATCAATATGCCAAAGTGGCTTATTTTAGGGTGGCATATTCTGCTACTCTTCACATATGTTCTCTCAGCCACATCAGTAATGTCTGATGGCATTTTGGACTTCCATGTACCAATTTTTAAATGATGCTTCAAATAAACATAAATGAAATTTTGTATTTCTCATCTCAAGAGTTTAGTGAGAATAACAGATTCCTATAGCACTGGACCTCACTAGAATCATCTGGAAGTCTTTCAAATGTAGACCTCATTGTGAACCAATTGCATCAGAATTTCTGGGGCTAAGATCTGAGTGTTAATATTTTTTAATATCTCCCAGGATACTCTGATGTCTAGCAAGCTGAAGGGCACAGCTAAATGTTAATTTCTACAATGAATGGATAACTCAGTAGGTCATTCCCTGAGCCTTGTATTACTATAATTGTTAAAATTTCCTCTGGAAGTTTTCTGGTCAGCTTGTAGGCTTCAAAAGAAAACTGACACTTTGACTTATTTTTTAAGAATTTATAATTAAATTAGTTTGAAAACATTGCAAGAGGATATTTAAAAATTAAATTTAAACAATAATCCAGCTCCTCTAACTAGCAACATTATTTATCATATTCCCATATCCTGCAAATATTTAGTTGTGTTGAATTGAAAACAGAATCCATATTTGTGATGATAGATTTTAAATATTTAATTCTCCTTTCCCAATTCTACGTAATCATTATTAAATGTTTTATTAAATATATATATGTAATTTTCCTAAAATGATATATAATTTAATAAGTGCTGTATTTCTGTAGCTTCAAATTATTTGTGGCTGTTTGCAGATACACTGTATGAAATCATAGAGCAAATATTTGACACGGTGATATTTAATTCATTTTATATTTTACCTAAAGTTATTAAAATAGCTTGTTATATAAAAATTTAAACAACTCTTCAACATTTTCATCTGTACAAAGTGATCTTAGTGTATTCTTTGCTTAAACCTGGGACATGATGAGACATTCTGATATGCATATTACCAAATAGTGATCAAAAGCTAAAAATATCTCCAAGAATAATTGATACAAATTTTTTTATTTTGCCAGGGGTATGGTGGCTATATTGCAGGAATGATTTTAAAATCAGATGAAAAGCTTTTTAAATGTGGATCAGTGATTGCACCCATCACAGACTTGAAGTTGTATGGTGAGTACTTCCTATAGACTGACCTAATATAACATATTGATTTGTAGAGAAGAAAATGCCAATGCAGAGGAGGTCAACTGAGCTCATTTATCATGTGTTATCGGAGATGTTTTCCCCTGTTTATCATCTCCCTGATTCAATCAATTTTACTGGAGCATGACAGTTAAATGTGAAATGTGGAAATTAAATAATGGAATATGCTACTTCAATGGTTTTTAGTTTATTCTTAAATTTCTGCTTTCTTGGGTCACAGCCTCAGCTTTCTCTGAAAGATACCTTGGTATGCCATCTAAAGAAGAAAGCACATACCAGGTAACTAATTTAAAAATAATGAAGAAAAAAGAATATTTTTGTTCTAAAAATGCAGTCAAAATGCACATACAGGTAGATCTATATATTCAGATTTTTGTGTTTTCCTTTATAGGCATCCAGTGTGCTACATAATGTTCATGGCTTAAAAGAAGAAAATATATTAATAATTCATGGGACTGCCGACAGTAAGTATTATATTTGCTGCTGCTGGTTAATGGGGTCTGATGTTGAACAAAGGGGTACATCCAAGGACCTGCTGAGGAAGAGAGCAAGAACAGTGGCACAAAGAAGACAATGCATGATGGGAAGTGGGAAGAAGGAAGTCAGGACTAATAGGAGAGGGAATTATAAGCCTCAATGGCAGCAGTGTCCAATAAAATTTTCTGGGGTGATGGAAATGTTCTTGGTGTTAAACACAGTAGCCACTGGCCACATGTGGCTCTTAAGCACTTGGAATGTGTTTAGTATGACTGAGAAACTGAATTTTTTATTTCATTAAATACTTTTAATTAATTTAAATTTAAATAACCACTTGTGGCTAGTGACTGCTACTACGATGCTATTCGGCATGCCTCAAATGGAAAATAACCTGGAAAACAATAGGACAGCAGAAAGGTGCCAGCCCTGAGATGAAATTCTGATGAGATTACCCACTTAAATTAAAACAAAAACTTTTAAAAAAACACTTTCATATCACCTCTAGTTTTTTCATCACTTTAAATGTTGGACATGGATGTGGCTGATATTACTAGTAATAAATAATATCATTTTATATTCACATGAACTGTTCAGGGCTCAGAGAATTTATATTTTTTTTATTATTCTATGTGAAACTTTATAACAGAGGGCTGAGTATTTATAGCCTCATTCACAGATGACAAAAATCAGTTTCAAGGAGGAAACTGATTTATCCAAGGCTACCTGGCAAGTGAGTGAAGAGAGTGAAAGCCTTGAATCAATATTTCCTACATCTTGAAATTGTTTTTGTTGGTCCACCCTGCCCTGCCTCAGTATTTTTACCCCATTTTACAAAGACTATAACTAAAGAGATCTTACAGCAAAGATCATACCAGGTCTTGAATTTAACTTTTGAGCATGTCAGGCCATGGTTAAATTAGAACTCAGATCAATACTGATATATAGGTAAATGGGGAGAAGAGAAAAATCTTCCTTAGGTGGAATTCCAAATAATTTATGTAGATATTCCCCCTCTAGGAGGCAAAACTTACCTCTCCTCCCTTCCCCTGTAGAGTGGGTTGCAAGCGACAGGTCATGTTGCTAGGATGCTCCCTTGATACGATTTCATGAGTGGCATTCTATGGCTATGGTCTTAGCCCAGAATCCCATAACCCCAGTCTAACCATGAGAAAAATATCAGACACACCCCAATGAGGAACATTCTACCAAATACCTGACCAGTACTCCTCAAAACTGTCAAGGTCATCAAAAACAAAGAAAGTCTGAAAAATTCTCATAGACCAAAAGAAGTTAAGGAGACATGATGTCTAAATGTTTCTTAGTTGTCGGGCCAGCCCTGATGGCCTGATAGTTTGAGTTCAGCTCACTCCGCTTTGGTGGCCTAGGTTCAGATCCTGGGCACAGAACCACACCACTCGTCTATCAGTAGCCATGCTGTGGTGGTGGCTCACATAGAAGAACTAGAGGGACTTTCAACTAGAATATACAACTATTTACTGGGGCTTTGGGGAAGAAAAGAAAAGAGAGAGAGAAAGATTGGCAACAGGTGTCAGCTCAGGGCGAATCTTTCCCAGCAAAAAAAAAAAAGGTAAATGCTTTTTAGTTGTGACCAATGTACAATAATAGTGTAAGATGCTAACAAGAGGGAAAACTGGGTAAGGGATATAGAGGAACTTTCTGTACTGTCTTTGCAAGTTTTCTGAAAATCTAAAACCATTATAAAATTTTCAAAAAGACTTAGATGATACAATACCTGTGTTGGGTGAAACATGATGAAAGAGAGCATAAACATTTTAAAGGACATTACAATTTTGTTCTAAGGTATTAAGATCTTTCATGTATATTAAAGTAATAACATTAAGTAGCAATTATTTAGTACTGACTATATGTCAGAAAATGTGCCAAAAGCTTTTAATTTTATATTATCTGTTTTTCACAAAAATACTGTGCAGTAGGTATTATTATTATTGCTGTTCTTATTTAGCAGATTGGGAAAGTAAATATTATGAAATTTATATAACTTGCGGAAAAAGACATAAATGTTGATTTGTAGAAAGGGGATTTGAATTCAGCATCGAGGCCCTTATTCACTGTGCTCTGAAGCTTTAATTGTGGGAAGAAATTATGTTCGAGGTTAAACTGTTTTATGTCTAGCCATCACCCTAGAATGTATTAGTGCTATTCAAATTTCTCTGTCAATATATTGTAGCTATTAAGGCAAATCATGTTGTTCCTATCTGACTCACTCAGTGATGGGCCTGGCTTCACCCACTTGATCAAGTACAAACAGAGGTTCAGCACTTGTCACTTCAGATCACAGGAAGCACACCTGTGTGTTTGCACGTACACACACACCACACACCCCATATGGGACTGGTGGATTATAGGTGCTCAATCAATGACACTATAATATTACCATTATTAATATTATCTTCCAAAATTATCAGCAAATCAGTTCACTTTAATGTCCCTGTTTAATTTTAGGAAGGGGACAATGGCAAATATCAATAGAGTTTGTACTAGAAACTAAACAGAAAAAAACCCAGCTGGAAAATCTAGTTATATATTTGTCTTTTCAGCTATATCCATGCAGAGAAATGATGGGATTCTTTTCAAATTTTTTCCTACAATAAACAAATGAGTTATAAAAGGGATCATTTGCCTCATTCATTGCCCCTATTAACCAGCATTTCTAATGGCTTAAATTTACAGAGCAATTTGTAACTTATTTAAAGAGGATCTGGTAATTTTGCCATTAAGTACAATAGGAAGATGTTGAAAAAGATCTAGGGTGGATTTTAAAAAGATTTGAATAATCATTTGGAATCTCTTATTGTCTGCTATGTAGTAGGACTAATCAGTATCATAGAATTACAGCAATGAACAAGCTTAAATTATTGATAAGGCTGCCCTAGTTTTATAAAGACAGTTTAAAAAAGTTAGCTTGAAAGTTATTTACAGAAATTTGAATATGCACATAGATAGGAATGAATAGCCCAGGCAGCATATGAGCAAAGAGCTATACAAAGAGATCTGAGTGATTTGTCCAAATCCTCACAGTTAGTTAGGACCAATGCTGTCACCCAACCCCGGTCTACCATGCTGCTTCTTTCAGAGTTTTGGACCTTAGGTTCAGGCAGAAGCAGGCTAGAAGGAAACAGGGGAAACGTATGATCCACATTAAATATTTAGCCCTTGAAAAATGAGATTGTACTCTATTTTCTCAACGTGGGGTATTCTTTTCTAATTCAAAATAAAACAGAACATCTGTTTTATCTGAGACCAGGCCCTAGTAATCCTCAGAAATGAATAGAAAGCTGGTTTGCTGTGTTACTATCCAGACAGGTATTCACTATGTTACAATCGTTATAACCGTATAAAATATGTGAATGAGAAACGATAAATGATAACCAGTAAAGTAAATCTGAATACCATCCTGTGTAATAAATAAAGCCTTAGTAGTACTCCTGTTTCAGTTTATTTTTTTATAATGTGAAGCTCAAAGTTTTATTACCGTTGTATCTACCTGTTTCCTAGTTAAAGCCAGGTATCAGTCTTTTAAATGTGCGGTGTATGTAAAGTACAATCCTCAATCTCTTTGAAAAAATGGTATAGAAAAGTTCTGATCCTAATAAACGTATTTCCTTCAAATATCATAATTGAATTTCTTGCAGCAAAAGTTCATTTCCAGCATTCAGCAGAATTAATCAAACACCTAATAAAAGCTGGAGTGAATTATACTATGCAGGTAAGCCACTTTTTCAGAAGAACGTGTTTTCCTATCTTGGTTTTTTAGTTGTCACATACAGAACACAGCCTCTCTACTACTCCATACTCCACGCTATTATTTTTTACTGTGTTTTTTAGGTACCAATGATTGTGTTCTTTTTTCCAGTTACACCAATTAGTGTATTCATCCTGGATCAGCTCATGCTTTACAAGTGAACTGCATAAACTCTTTCAAAAATGTCTTTTTCTTCTCAGACTTTTATTCATATCACTGATAATTAATTCTTTTGAAAGAATAGTTTCCTATTTCCCTCCTAGTCTCTTTGTCTTTTTCTCATTTTCCATCACTCTTATCCCAAAAAGTGGGGGAAAAAAGTTGTTTGTGTAAATATTATGAGAAAAAAAGGAGACAGCACAATATCATTTACATCTATGCATTCAACCACGTTTAATAAACATTTATCAAGGACTTAATTTACAGTGGTCACTATGCTAGATGTGTCAATAAGACATACTTTATACCATCAAGGAACTTTCAGTCTGAGGGAAGAGTCATAGAAGGGAAAAAAGGTAGTTTTAATTTCTCAGCATTTGGAAAAACTAAAATAGTTCAACATATCTAAAACACAGGAACCACGGTTAGGATGATGAAAGATGAAGATGCAGAGATAAACAGATGGTGGGTCATGTCATAAACCATGCGAAGGAGTATGGGGCTTTACTCAGAGGGCAATGAGGCACCATTTAAAAACTTTACACCCAGAAATTGACATGACAATATTTGTATTTGTATTTTAGAAAAATAACTAATGTCCTTTATATTGGAAAGGACATTGTGAAAGTAAAAATTGTACCACACAGGATTAAACAGACAAGGAAGATTTTAGTCAAGACTATTGCAATAAGGAAGAGAGACTAAGTTCAATTCTTTTGAAACAGTGCTGGAGAGTTTTTAAGAGCTGAGGTGGAAGGACTCATAGTCCACCTGTGTTTGGTAACTGGCCTTACCAAAAGGACCAAAAGGTAATTGGCCTCTTGTATCTTTATGAGAGGAGATAATTTTACAACTTGGAGCAAGGCTCCTGCTTTCCCACAGAGACTGGGAGATAGCCGTGCTATCTCATTCGTGTATACATTTCAAAGAGATGATTCCCAGGTCTTTGAGAAAGACATTTCCTGAGTTGTAAAACTGGCAACTGGCGAGAGGCTGGAAGAAGATTCACCTATATTTCAAAGATGCAGAGAATGAATTTAGAATGCAAGTTTTCTAAATTAAATTCTCTAAGAAAAGTGAGGTCAGAGTCCTATAGTCAGGAAGAAACTGTCTAAAATTTAGTCAAGCTAGGGGGAATGTTAATGCCGTCTTGGTCATCATGAACATGGAAAGCTCTACTTCTTTTGGCTAACAAATCCTAATTTAAATACATAAAAATTGTATTTTGTCTCAAATGTTGATTATGATATGATTATTATAAAAAAGAAAAGGTTAGCATAAAGAACTCAGAGTTGAATTAGATGAGATTTGGGTTAGATATTATTTTCCAAAGTTCTCTTGCTATTGGAGCTAAAAGAATGAACTCCAAGGGGCAGTACTTGCTTTGGTAACTTTAAATCTCCTTTCCCTTCAATATCTTAGGTCTACCCAGATGAAGGTCATAATGTATCTGAGAAGAGCAAGTATCATCTCTATAGCACAATCCTCAGATTCTTCAGTGATTGTTTAAAGGAAGAAATATCCGTGTTACCACAGGAACCAGAAGAAGATGAATAATGGACCCTATTTATATAGAACTGAAGGGTATACTGAGGCTCAATGAAACCTAACCAAGAGACTGTAATATTGTAGATGCTCCAGATTTCAAGGGTGGTTTAGGGAAATGACACTGGAACAGCACACTCAGAGACAATGAACTAGAATTTGAATACAGAAGTCCAAGTCTACTGTGTTGCCAAGGGTGCAGAACCTGTTTCTTTGTGTAAGGAAGGTCAAATGGGTGGTTTCCTGGGAGAAATTAGTTTTGCATTCAAGTAGGAGTAGTGCATGTTTTCTTCGGTTACACCCTTATTTGTTCTGTAACTAGTTGCTCTCGTTTTAATTTCAATGACCATCATCATCTGCATATAATGCACAACTTGTCAGTACTACTGTCCCTGGTCTTTGATGGCTGAGCTGCAATCTAACACCTTACTGTACCTTTACGATAAGTGCAATTCCTTCATTGTCTATTATTATGCTTAAGAAAATATTCAGTTAATAAAAACAGAGTATTTTATGTAATTTCTGTTTATAAAAAGAAATTGTTAAGTGGGTCAAAGGTCATGTAGAAATATGGATTTCAGCACCTTCCAAAGTTGAGCCAGTTATCAGTAGATACAATATCTTTAAATCAACACACCTGTGTATGTCTCACAATATATATATACACACGTGTGCATATACAGTCACTATCTTTACATGTTATTCATGCTACAAAGGATAAACTTCTGATGAGTTAGAAGAGATGCTCTTTTACAGGCTATAATGGATACTTTGTTTAATGAGCCAAATATGAAACATTTTTTCCAATTCAAATTCTAGCTATTGCTTTCCTATAAATGTTTGGGTTGTGTTTGGTATTGTTTTTAGTGGTTAATAGTTTTCTAGTTGCAATTTAATTTTTTGAATATGATACCTTGTCACATGTAAATTAGATACTTAAATATTAAATTATAGTTTCTGATAAAGAAATTTTGTTAACAATGCAATGCCACTGAGTGCTATTTTGCTCTTTTGGTGGAGAAGGCTTTTTTTAAAACACTTGGTCGGTATTTGACTTCTCTCTCTCAATGGAGAAGCAATTCTCATTTTCATTGTAAAAGCAAAAAGCTGGATTATTTCATTTGCCAGTTCCTGTTTAGTATTCTGATCCTGCCCAATTCCTCTGTTACTGTTTAATTTAAATCCTTCTGGTGAGAATTAGAAATGAAACATTTTTTATTCATTGGCCGAAAAGCTCACAAACAGCAGTGTTTGCTATTTACTTTGAGTTGAAGGCACAAAATGCATTAATTCCTGTGCTGTGTTGATTTGCAGTAGTAAGCAACTGAGAGTGTAACATACATTTGACTATGTGAAGTCAATTTAAGTCATGAGAATATTAACTTTCGCAACTAAAGTCAAAGAGTATCTTCTCACTTCACTTGAGGGATCTTCTAGAAGATATCTAAAAGTCTGTAATCAAGCTTACAAGTTCAGATGAATCTAAGCAGTACACTGTGTTTTTAAAAATTCCTTAGGACAAGCTGGATTATCATGACATCAGAACACTAGGAGGAAACTTAAAAACATCACGAAATTGCTCAGTAACCCTCTTGTTTTGTCGAAGGATCAACCTCAAAATCTGGGTATTTGGAAATGTTTGAGTCATATTTTAGATATTCTGCTTTTCTTCTGGATGCTTTGCAATTGTGTCTTCACTGCTCTGATGGATTCAATTTAAAATGGGAAAGGCTCTCTTTTCTGAAAGACCCATTTCAGGTCTTTTTCAAGAATAGTAAACACATTTTTTAAAAAAATAAGTGTAATGTTTAAAAGGAAAGTTTTGCCTATTTTATTAAGATGGAAATTTCTTTTTAGGCTGATTTGAAGTCCAACTGAAGCTTTTTCATCAATATTTTAAATTTCAATCACTAGAGTTTTTTTATGATGCAGATAATTATGTTGTCTGAAAGATGTAGTTTTATTGAATGTCTGAGTAACATTTAAAAAGTATTTACCTTTTACTGTTCATCATTTCTCTTGCTTTATTGTTATTATCAATGTTTATCTATTTTTCAATTAATTTAATACAGTTTCTAATGTGAAAGACATTTGTCTGCAACCCGCTTTCACCATAAAGGGTAAATAGATCTCAAATGAAGACAACTGTTTAATAGAAAGGTAGAAAATTTTCATCTTCATGATTCTTTGAGTGTTAATAATTGGGCCATTTTAGATAAAGGGAATGTTCACCAACACATAGACACCAATTATTAAAGGAATCATGTAAGTGGATTTTCTCCTTTATACAAACATTTGCCCTTGGTCATAATTCCAATATTTCCTATGTATTTATGCAGTCTTAGAGTTTCCTGGAACTCCAGTAGCAAGATTTCCAAGTGTTATTTCCCCCCTAAAGTTAAAAAAAACTCAAGATAAACTAAAAATTCTATAATAAAACAGGTAAGCAGTATTAAATCATCTAGAGATAAGCACATAACCTTTTAAAACTATTTTAAAAGGGAAAAGTATTTTTTCACTTTAATTGCCTCCACGGAGGTCTCTAACTCAACACTTAGAGACCTAAGAGACTATGCTGATCTGTTTGAGTTTTCTGACATAACGAAGGAAAGAGCGTACTCTTCAAAACATGAATCTCAGCTCACCTTGAGAATGTATCTTTTTTGACTGGATGTTTAGCATAGAAATCACCACTGAGGATCTTGCAGATGCCAGTTGTAGGTCTACTAGAATGAGGTGACTTAAACATCGGTCTTTACCATACAGACAATTATTTACGCCATTCTCCTCAAATGGTGGGCTTTGAAACAGAGGTGCGTGGGACTGAATTGCTTTCAAGTCTCAAGGGTCATTGAGGGTACGTGGCTTTTATAAAGAATCATGTGAAATACCTCTTTTGTCCCTTCTCAAATGCTCTGACTACCTTCACATCTTGCAGCAACCAGCATTGCATAAGTAAAACTTGACCCCTCAACTGCACTTTGTCGTTTACTTTCTACTCCGGGGATTCTCTGATACTAACGTTGGCTATCTGCTAGAACCAATAGGCTCATCCCTTATCCACTACAAACCTATATGATGACCTTAATACCCCTATTGAAACCCTGTTAATGGAAGACAGGAGCAGGTGACTATATGTTCCCCTTTTTCTTCCCTCAGATATTCTCCGTGGTCCTTGGAAGGCTCCATGGGCCTCAGCTGCACACAGCCGCGTACCTTTCTATTTTCCTCTTTCCCTTTCACTCTTCGTTGTCCCTGACTCCTTTTCCCTAGAATCACTTCCCCCAATAAACTGCACATACCCCAGCTGTTGACTCAGGCTCTACTTTCTGGGGAAACCCTTTCTTCTCGCATGAGCTTACCACGGTGAATGTTACAGGATGAAGAAATAAAATGAGAATAAAGAAGTGGTCTCTTTTCAGGTTTGAATAAGGTGTTTCTACCTAAAATTTATTAGACTCTTACTGAGTGCTAAGTGCTCTACATTCATTAGTAAATTGACTCTCTCAACATGCCGTGCAATAGGTATTATGATTCCCATTTTACAGATAAGAAAATTGAGTCTCAAGGCAGTATATAACTTGCCCAAATTTACATAACTAGTGAGTAAATAGCCTAGAACCCAGCTCCAGCCAACGTAGAAGCCCATGTTCTCAGCCATTCTGCTCTACAGTGCTCCTGAAATAAGGAGAGGTTTAACCCGTGTACACCCCATCTGAGAGAGGATTCTGAATATTTAAACATATAGTTCTGGACATTTGGGGAATAATTTGATAGCAATAATACTGAAAGGTAAACAATAGCCCAGTGTACCGCTGTAGCCATGTTTGAAGTTACATGGATTCCCTAGTGTCGAGGACGTATGTAATATTAAAATGTGTTTTCTTTTTCTGTTGGAGATATAGAGGAGTTATTCCTGTCCATGGAAATCCTTGCCCAGAAGATCATGACTATATGCCTGGGAAGTCATTAGTAAATTCCCTTGCTCTGGCATTAAGCCAAGAACATCCCAAAACATTCTAAGAGCCATTCAAAGCATTATGTGTATCAAAGCACCCAGGCTTGCAAACATGAAACCACCACCTAGTCTTCAAACACTACAAATCGAGACATTGAGTCATAGCTGGCATCCACAGTCCTATTTGCAATCTGACTGAGGAAAATTGCATTACCCCCCACTTTTCTATCACTACAGGCAATAGATTTTACTTACCACTGATCAGATCTGCTAACAACACTTTCATTTCATTTGGCAATATTCCAGCAGTTTTGGGAGAGAGTCTGTGAATTCAAAAATTCCCTTTCTTCGAAGACAAGGCAGACGGGTTGTAAAGAAGAAACACGTTATATCAAAGTATAATTTTGATTATTTTTCTTTTAGACTTTTAATTAAGTTTAAGATAGTGTGATACAAGCATCATAGGCTTTTCATACAGCAACTTGGTTACAAAGAAAGTCTCTGTGCTGATTGCCATAATCTGTCCTTTTCTATCAGGCCGAGCACCATTTTAGCTAAGTAATCTTTGGTGTGAGTGAAGCTTGACAATACAGAATCACATGTGCCAATAGCATCATAGAAAAGGAACTCACATTTGTTAAACACTTAGTCTTTTTAATCGCATAATCTCCAGTAATCCTCAAATCAACCATGTGCGATAGATGGTTTGTACTCTGATAAAGAAATCAAGATTCAGAGAGGTAAACAATTTTCCAATAGGGTCACACAGTGTGCGAATGACAGAACCAGGATTTGAACACAGATCATGAGGAGTTCAAAGCCCTCATATGGATTATCTTATTTATGCATTTTTTGGGTGGTGAATTTCTAACGTTCATCATGCAGTCTTTAGACTGAATTCAACTTTCAAGTCCCTCTCTGTTCAATGTTGCCATTTAATATGCATCTGAGTTCAAGTAACTGAAAGCAAACTTAAAAGTTGCTTAAAGACTTGTGACTCAATATGGAGGCATGTCTGGACATCATCTGAGAGATTGTCAGAAATGCAGACTCTCAGGCACCACCCTGGCCCTCCTAAATGAGAATCTGAATGTCAACAAGATCCCCAAGTGATTTGCATGTTCAGTAAATTGGCTTAAAAGCCAAAAGCCTTTATTTACCCACATCACAGGAGAGCTCAAGTTGAGTGCTTCTAGGGTAGTTTCACAGATCAATGAGGGAATCAAATCCCCGTCTGCTCACACCTTTCCACTTCTCCGGCTTCAGTCTGTTCTTTGTCCCTTTCCTTGGCTTCGAGTTAACGGCAGCTGCCTCACGCCTTGTGTCCTTTCACAGCAATATCCAAAGAGAGAGAGGCAAAGAGTGATTTTTTTTTAATCAGGAATGATAATTTTCTCCAGAAATCTTAAGCAGAATTCCCCTCAAGTCCCTTTGTCCAGGCTTTGGTTGCAAGCCCCTAACGTAGATATAAAGGAGGCTGGGAAGTTATGTATCTGAAATCGCAATCTCCTTAGTGAGGGTGCAACAAGTAAGAATGGTAGAGAATGCATGTAAGATAGGTGCCCAATGTGCGGCACGGAAGAGATAGGTATAGCCTGCCAATGGTGATACGGTCCGGAATGCTGGCGTTTCAGCTAGAGACATAGCTCAAGGCACTGAATATTGACGGCTGGGTGTTTTATTTGAAGACCCTTCATTTGAAGGTGTCTCATTTTTCCTCCCAGAAGACTCCAACCATCTGCTCCACCCTCCGTTCCTACAAGTTAGTACATTCTTCCCTGGCCAACATTTTTTCTTTTCCCCTCTGTTCTTTATCGTTAACATATTTTCTAGTGCTGGCAGGCAGCTTGGAAATTTGATTACTGTGCTAGCAGCCCCATTTTGCAGGCTTTATTTGCTCTAACACGATTTATGATGCCTAGATTATCTTCGTATGGCCTGAATTGCTAGTCATACCATTAATTGTCCTGATTGATGGATTACATAAGGCATATTCCAATGGGAAAAGAAAAGGCCCGACATGGAAAC